CACGTGCCTTCCAATTTCTAACAAAAATGTCTCCAGACACTACTAAATGCCCACTGGGTGAGAGCCACTGGTGTAGCATAATAGTTGCAGTTTCAGTCATCTGGGTCAGTTTAACGGTAAGGGGTGAATGGACTCTTACCCCACCCACCAAGTAGGAAGGAAGGATAAACACACTCACTCCCCTTGAAGGGGAAATCCTTCCCTCAGGCATTCCGTGTGAAAGGCTAGAGACCGGAGGTTTCAGCGGCAATCTGAACCAGGCATGGGGAAACAGATGACAGGTGAAGATACGGAGGAGACTGACTCAAATCATGAAGCTTTTAGATTCTCCACAGGATTGGAGAGTGGTCCCAGCACTGTAAGATAATCCCCTGATATTTAGGGAGTGGTGGCCAGCTGCTGTCCGCACTACTCTTCCAGGTGGGCAGTGATAGCCAAGGGCTGCTGCTTCTGCAGGTAGTCCCAAGAGCTCCACTGAGCACCTATGTTGCCGCTTTAAACCTGGCTTCACCTGTATCCCTAGGGCTGCAAGGCCAAGGGCTCCCTGGGGCACCAACATAGCACTCCTGAATTCAGGGACACCAGGAGCAGTTTACAGCCCTGCTGGCGCTCCAAGGGACCTTAAATCCTCATGTCTGAGCCCACCTGCAGAGATGCCAGTGGATCAACCCTGGGGCAGGCGTCTTTAGCCTCTCCAAAAGAAAGGTAATGGCCACTTGCCAGTCCCCTTGGAGAGCTGCCAATTCTCTTCCTCCAGGTCTGCTTCCCCTCCTGGAGGTGCAGGATTATCCCTGAGGTGTGCTTTCGCAGACCCAGTTAAGGACCTCTGAGGACTTAGTTACAATACTAAGGGAGTGAGCTACCTGGAGAAAGACTTGGAAAGCAGAGTTGCTGATTTTTGTTTTTTTCTCTTCTGTCCTAATATATTTTCCTAACACAAAAAGTTTCCTACAGTACTTAACTGTTCCGAGGTCAGCCTATGGTTGCTGGTTGTATCTTAACCCTAGGAAAAGGGAAAAATTTATACCCAAAGACAGAATTTAACAAATGATGGGGGCTGGGATTATGGCCAAGTGGTAGAGCGCTCCTAGCACGGGCGGAACCCGGGTTTGATCCTCAGTACCATGTAAAAATAAAGGCATTGTGTTGTGTCCATCTACACCTAAAAAATAAATCAATAAATATTTTTTTTTAAATGATGGGCTCACGGGCTGTGGCAGGATAGAAGGCAGCAGCCTGAAGAAAGCAGTCTCCATACTTGTGGTCACTCCACTCAGGCCCGCAGTGCCCCCCTGAGTGAAGGCCACACAACCTAAAATCAGCCACTTTGAAGTGAGCCAATCAGTGGCCATTAGGACGGTCACAATGCTGTGTGACCACCACCTCTGTGAAGTTCCAAAACTTTTCTATCACCCTTAAAATACAGCTTCACTAAACAGGCACTCACACCTATTCCCCAGGAGCTCGGGAGGCTGAGGCAGGAGGATTGCAAGTTCAAGACTCCACTCAGCAACTAAGCGAGGCCCTATCTCAAAAAAAGAAATTAGTAAATAAAAGAGCCGGAGATGTGGCTCAGTGGTAGACTGACCCGGGTTCAAACCCAGTACTGCAAAATGTTTTTCTTGTTGTGTCTGATTCACCTCGAAAGCTGTCCTGTTCTCTGCCTTTTAGGTGTTATGCAGACTATAGGGGAAGTGAGTTTTTCCATGCCAGAAACCCTCAGGACGTGAAAGAATTTTGCTGTCCAATGGCCCAAAAGATGCTTGGAAAGGCAATGCAGAAGAAATTAACAAATGATGGGTTGAAAATGCTAAGCTCTGCCTCCAAGAATACAGCTGGGTGTGCAGAACCGAGGCGCAAGGGGGACCACGGAGGGAAGAGCCGGCAACGTCTATGTGCCTGCAGAACCCAGGAGGACTCTATGGGTTTGATGGTGCATGCTAGTCATCCAAGCAACCAGAGGCTGAGGCAGCAGGAAAACAAGTTCAAGGCCCTGCCTCAAAATTAAAAAAAAAAAAGGCTGGGGTGTGGCTCAGTGGCAAAGACCCCCTGTACAAAAAAAAAAAAACAGGACTGTGACAGGCTCAGAGATATCCATGATGGGAGCCCACATTCAGAAGTTTTGGGGTTCCTCCAGTTTTGCTGGATTCCTCAGTCTCACCAAAACCTCCGTTAACATGCTGAGGTACCAGTAACCCAAGCAAGTGAGCTGACCTACAGACTGTGGCAGAAATCCCTAAAAACTGAACTGCCCGGACAAGCAGCTGTTAGGCTGACCTCTTGGTAAACAGGGCATTCTCGACATGGAGATGCACACTGTTGGGAAACACTTCCAAAAGCAAACTTCCTATGCCCATCCAATCACCTGCACAAGACATGAAGAAAAGCCAGCACTGTAGAGAAGGTAGGCATGCTGCCAATTGCAAAGACCAAGCCAAGAGGCTTCTTAGAAGGTGCTCAGCTTGAGGAACTGAACAGTAGCTTATTTCATATTAAAATACAGTGTCTCTACCTCCTTGACTTTGGAATTTTTCTCGGGTTTAATCAGTAAGGTGTCCTTCTGGACTGTCTGGCACCTCTGCTGGACATATGTGCAATAGCATCCCCTAGTGGTCATAACAGAGCAAGACCAATTACAAGGTAACAGGAATTTCCCCTTATTAGTGGCACATTGGGATGCTGGCAAGGTCAACTTTTTTTTTTTTTTTTGGGGGGGGTACTGGGATTGAACCTGAGTGTGCTTAACCACTGAGCACATCCCCAGCCTTTTTCAGTTTTTGAGACAGGGTCTCACTAAATGGCTCAAAATCTAACTTGCTGAGGCTGACCTTGAACTCCTGCCTCAACTTCCCAAATCCCTGGGATTACAGGTATGCACCACCACACCCAGCTAACTCCCTTTCTATCATCACCTTCCTCCTCTGTAAAATGAGACTATTAGGTGGATTTAAAATTGGGATATGCAGAACAATGCTAGGCATACAACAGCACTAAAGGTTACGGAAGTTACCTGCGAGGGTGTGAGCCAGGGCCTTATCACTGACAAGAGTCCCAGCCCTCCTCATTGAGCACCATTCCCCAAAAACTTGTTAGGGATGTAAATCCTGAGGCCCTACCTGAGGCCTTGGGGTGAGTGGAGCCCAGCATCAGCCCCCTGTGACCTAACCAGCCCCTACAGGAGACGCCAGTGACTCAGATTTTCAGGTCCACTACATACAGTGGCATCTCTCCATTTTCGTTTCTCCTGGTGTTGGAGACAGAAGCCAGGGCTTCCCGCATGCTGGGGACATGCTCCACCCCTGAGCAACACCCCCAGCCCAGGCTTCTCCATCTTAACTGAGCATCCCAATCACCTGGGTCTCTGCCTACAAGGCAGATTTGGATTGAGTCTGAAATGAACCGAGATTCTGCTTTTTTTTTTTGGTAATGGGTATTGAACCCAGGGGCACTGGACCACTGGGCCACACCCCAACCCTATTTTGTATTTGATTTAGAGACAGGGTCTCACTGAGTTGCTTAGTGCCTCGCTTTTGCTGAAGCTGGCTTTGAACTCACGATTCTCAGCCCCCTGGTCCGCTGAGAATCGTGCCAGCCTCAGCCACTTAGTGATTACCTAAACTACTGCTATCCCTGTTACCAAAAAATTGATAATCCCCTGAGCCGCTGGGATTACAGGCGTGCGCCACCATGCCTGGCCTGCATTCTATTTGACATTAGTTTACAAACATATCTAGATGGAATAGATTGACCCATCTTACAAGGAGATTGACCTCTTGAAACTTTCCTCATAGCTGGTTAAGGTGGCCACACCTGTAATCCCTGCAAAGTGGGAGGGTGAGGCAGGCTAATCTCGAGTTCTAGGCCAATTTAGGTAGGCCCTGTCTTAAAGGATTAGGGCTGGGGATGTGGCTCAATGGTTAAGCCACTCCTGGGTTCAATCCCCAGTACCCAAAAAAAAAAAAAAAAAAAAAAAGAAACAAAATTCAGATCAAAAGTACACAGTTGTGGTGGTACATGCCTGTAATCCTTGCGACTCAGGAGGCTGAGGCAGGAAGATGGCAAGTTCATGGCCAGCTTTAGCTATTCAGTAGACCCTGTATCAAAAAAAAAAAAAAATTGAAAGGCTGGGGATGTGGTTCAGTGTAAAGCATTCCTGGGTTCAGGCCCTGGTACCAAAAAAAAAAAAAAGAGGAAAAAAGAACACAGCCATGATAATTAGGAACCCTTTGCTTTCCGGGGACCTCCCCCCCCAAGTGAACTCCCCACCACCTGTCCCCACATGGTGCTGCTGGAAGCCCTGGGGAAGAAGGTGACTGACAGCAGGAGAAAGGGCCACACTAAGTGCTGGCTTTGCACAGCTGCCACCTTGCATGCCGAGACTCTGTGTTTTTGACAAGTTCCCAGGAGAAGCCAAAGGGCGGGTTTCAGGGTTGAGCACTGAAGCGTCTATGTGCTCAATAAACTCTGCCCTGACTTAAGAAGGCTGCACCTGTGATTCTCCACCTCAGAAGGTGGAAGAGCAATGCACCTCTATTAGAAATCGTACTCGGAATTTTGCTCTTTCCCCAGGGCTAGCAATTATAGGGTGACATGCTCCCCTGGGGTGCCGGGTGGTTGGTAAGGAAGCCAGCTCCCGTCGGCCGGCTCATCCTGTGGCCGCCACATAGAAAGCGGGCCGTTCTGGGTGACTGTGCCCAGCTGAAGAGTGATGTTCTGAGCGTGTGTAGGGATCCGCTCGGGTGTTCAGCAGGAGGGCTTTCCATGTTCGGTCTGGAGTGGGTTCACCAGGATGCCACAGCTGTGGAACACCGGGATCAGCCGCAGGGATTGGGAGAAACCCAGGGGTTCTGAAGGATCTGAGGATCAGACAGGAGGGTGGGGAAGGAGGTGGAAGAGGTGTGACTAAGGGTGTGGCTGTCCAGGGATGTACTTAAGTCTCCATGCCTCCGTTGCCTGCTCTTACTGCAGAGGCTGAGCCAGGCGTACATCCAAGTCCCAAGATGTCAGGCTCCAAGGCCCTTCCTGAAGGTAAGGCGGGAGGGCAGAAGCAGAGGCCCAAGGAGCCTCAGCTGCACTGGGACTCGGGCTGGGAGGGTGACGCTGCTGTGGCTCTGCCCAGTCTTGTGGACAGTGGAGAAGCTGCTCAGACACTGTTGTTTTGAGGTGCTGTGTTGTGTGGGGACAGGTGCATGGAGTACTGCATACATGGCGTCTGAGTGGCAGGCCACTCTCCTCACGCTAGGTGTGGGAAAGGCTGAGACGCTTACCCCATAGGCACAGCCCTGGGCATGAGGCCCTGGGTTGCAGTCCCTGCGCTTGCTCCACGGCCCGCTTCTCAACTGGTCACAGCAAGGACAGTTAGCAAGAAAGTGTATTGGTGGCTGCCTCTAATCTGCCTAGCTACTGCCTGAGCATATATACACAGGAACTGCTCAATAAAATCAGATCTGCTTCCTGCTTGTGTGTGATGTGTCTGGGGACTTGTCATGTAGTCAGAAAGCAGGTTTAGCCCACCTGGAAAGCAGGGCAGGGTCACAGTTTTGAGAGCAAAATGGGTAGCATTGCGCATTTGGACTGTTTCTCTCCTTCCAAGACAAGCAAGAGAGGCATCCCCACAAGAAGCGAACATTGTTCACGCAGAAACAGCTGGAAGATCTGACCCTGATTTTCAACAGGAACCCGTACCCAGACCCCAACCTGAGGAGACAAATGGCCTCGAAAATGAACTTAGACCCATCGGTCCTGCAGGTGGGAAGCTGACCATCTCTTCTAGCTACCTCTCTGTACCACCCTAAGCCCGGCCCTCTAGGGGAGGGCCTGACCTTTGCTACCACCCCAGGTCCCAGTAGCCTAAGGCCTAGACTTTGCTACTCATAGCAACCCACCCCTCTCCAGACCCCTGCCGGCACTGAGGATGGGCAGAGTTTTTTCTGTAAGGACAAGATAGTGACTATTCCAGGCTTTGTGAGCCAGGCTGCAATCACAGCATGGACCCAGCCACAGCAACATGTAGGCAAATAAGGCTACCTGTGTTCCCAGGGACCTTATGGACCCAAGTCAGAAGTTCATGCAGTTTTCAGGCTGGGGTTATAGCTCAGTGGTAGAGCCCTGGCCTCACACAGGTGAGGCACTGGGTTCAATCCTCAGCACCGCATAAAAATAAAGGTATTGTGTCCATCTACAATTAAAAATATTTTTTAAAAGTTCGTATAGTTTTCACATCGCAAAATAATATTCTTACTCCGATTTTTTTCCCCCAACCATTTTAAAGATGTAAAAACCACCAGGCATAGTGGTGCATGCCCATATTCCCAGCAACTTGGGAGGCTGAGGCAGGAGGATCACAAGTTCAAAGCCAGTCTTCAGCAATTTAGTGAGGCCCTAAGAGAGATCACAAGTTGAAGACCAGCCTCAGCCACTTAGTGATTATCTAAACTGTTATGCCTATTTCCAAAAAATTGAAAGACCCTGTCTCAAAACAGAAAATAAAAAGAGCTGGGGATGTGGCTCAGTGGTTAAGTGCTCTTACCAGTAACAAAAACTTTTCCCCTATGGAACGCTTCATTAATTCGCATGTCCTCCTTGCACAGGGACCATGTTTTGCTACAATTTTAGTATATGTGCTGCCAAAGCAAGCCCCCCCCCAATTTTTTTTTTTTTAATGCAGAACCTACTCATGGGCTGGGGATATATAGCTCAGTTGATATAGTATTTGCCTCGCACGCATAAGGCCCTGGATTCAATCCCCAGCCCCACACAAAAAAAGAACCTACTCTTTGCTGAAGGGTCACACCAGGCAGGTGGCGTTTTGATTGGACCCATCATTTGGGGCAGTGGCCTGAGCTCAGGCCAAGAGCCTCCACAAGAGGGCGCCACTGCCCCGTGATCTCCCGCTCTGGGTTCCCTGGTCCCTGCCTCACTTGGTGCCCAGACAGGCTCTCCTGCTGCCCTGGGATCAGGCTGGGCGGGGGGGGGGGGGGATCCCTAACGGAACCGAGGTGGGGAGCCAGCTCTTCTCACGTGGAAGTCCCCATTTCGCTGAGCAAAGGGAAACCTCTTCTGGAATCTCACTCTTCCCCTCAGGTTTGGTTCAAGAACCACAGAGCAAAACTCAAGAAACAAAAACTGCACGTCCAGCAAAAGCAGGAGGCCCCCCAGCGGGAGTCTGCGGAGCCCCAAGCCCCCCAGCGGGAGTCTGCGGAGCCCCAAGCCAAGGCCGGGCCCACCTGGAGCAGGGCAGTCGCAGCCCCTAGAGAGCCGGAGCTGGGTCCCTGCCTCGCGGCCCCAGTCTACACCAACCGCCAGACCCCCTCCTTCCAGCTCAGCATATGCCCCCCTTTCAAGATCCACACAGTCCACGCCGGGAGCCACAAAATGATCCACTTTGGCTGCTGCCGGGACCCCACCGTGTACTTCCTCCAGCAGATTTCAGAACCCCCTCCGTGCACCCCAGGCTGCACGGTGGCTCACCACCACTCCTCCGTGCCCCACCACCACTCCTCCCCCACCACCACTCCTCCGTGCCCCACCACCACTCCTCCGTGCCCAGCAGGGAGGCCACGTGACCATGGGGAGCTCTGGGAAGCGGGTGCTGCCCACCGAGAGGAACAAAGACGGGCATAGTGGGTGGCTGGGTCTCAGGCCTTCCTGGAGAATGGCCTGTGGAGTTCGGCAGGGTACTTTTGCTGTTGTTGTTTTAATACTGGAGATGGAATCCTGGGCACCCACCACTAAGCACATCTCTCCTTTTTCATATTTATTACTTAATGACAGAGCATCAGCTAAGTTGCTGAGGCTGGCCTTGAATTTGTGATTGATCCTCCTGTCTCAGCCTCCAGAATGGCTAGGATTATAGGCCTGCACCACTCGACCAGGCTCAATTTGTGAGTTCTCAGACAAATGCTACCAAGTGTGGTGACACCTGACCCAGCCTTAAGCCACTTAAGGAGAGGGAATGGTTCAATGGCTAAGTGCTTTTGGGTTTGGATCAGTCCACTACCATAAATAAAATCAATAAATGTCATTTACTATTGCCCTAAAATGTCTCATTCTGTCTTCCTCCTGTAGAAAAGGGTTTTATGTAGCTGTGAATTGTTGGGCTCCTGGGTGGTCACAGTCCTGGGATTCCTTGCTTCTGCACACTCATCTGCATGCCCTCTACACCCTGTCATGCTTTTGGTCCCCATCATAAAATTCCTGGTGTAGGCTACCTTTAATCTAGCTCACTTTTGGAGGCTCCAAGTTTCTCTGGTAGGATCCACTCTGCTTGCTGTGTCACATCAGGGCACATGGCAGCACAGCCTCCTGGTGGGAGCGATCACATGGAGAAGCAGTAAGCTCAGACTGCAGCCGTTCCCTTTAGAGAACAGAAAGCCTTCCAACCTCCACTTCCATGAACTTCCAAAGCAGGGAAAAAAAAACAGTGCCAACCTTAGTGGCTGCCCCATGGTGGAAAGAATGGAGGAGATGGAGCTGAGTGTAGGGATTCACACCTATGAGCCCAGCAGCTTGGGGGCTGAGGCAACAGGATCATCGCAAGTTCAAAGCCAGCCTCAGCAACGGAACAAGGCCTAAGCAGCTCTGCAGGATCCTGTTTCTAAATAAAATACAAAAGAGGGCTGGGGATGTAGCTCAGTTAGTGGAGTGCTTGTCTCACATGCACAAGGCCCTGGGTTCAATCCCAGCACCAAAAAAAAAATTAAAAGGCTGGAGTTCATTTCATTGGTTTCCTCTGCAGTTCATGATTTTTATCTAGTTTTGTGTTTTACTTTGTAGTACCAGGCATGGACCCAGGGGTGCTCTACCACTGAGCTACATCCCCAGTCCCCTTATTTATGTCTTGTTCTAAGACAGTATCCCACAAAGTTGCCCATCCTGGCTCAGCCTCACCGTAATCCACTGGGATTACAAGCCTGTACTCCACAGGAATTTTTGCTTTTTTTTTTTTTTTTTTGGTACCAGGGATTGAACCCAGGTCACTTAACCATGGAGCCACATCCCCAGCACTTTTTAGTCTGAGACAGGGTGTCTCCCTAACTTGCTAAGTTGCTGAGCCTGGCCTTGAATTCGTGCTCCTCCTGCCTCAGTCACCTGAGCTGCTGGGATGACAGGCGTGCATCACTGTGCCTGGCTTTTTACCCAGGATTTTTATTATGGTGTGTGGTGCTGGGGATGGACCCAGGGCCTTGTGCGTGTGAGGCAAGCACTCTACCAACGGAGCTGTATCTCTAGCCCCTTTACCTGGTTGTGAGTGTGGAGTATTTTCCGATTGCCTGGAGTCTTTCTCCTTAAGGTGAGAAGGGACAGCGCCCCCACCCCCCATCTTCCTTCTGAGAGCAGATCCTGTCACGTGGTACTGTTTCAAAAGATGTTCTGAAAGAAAAAAAAAAAAGAGTGGTCAAGGGACACAGTAAGGTAGGAGGCAGATAGAGATGGAGAGACAGGGGCCCAGGAAAGCCACAGGAGAAGAGCTTAGCCCTGGCCGGGGACCTTCCCTGCGGGCTCAGCATTTCCCAGACTTGATGATCAGGATAAGAATCACCCGGGAGCTGTTAAACCCAGTTCCTGGATCTCAGGAGGCGCCCTGATTTGACCAGTTGTGCTTCACAAAGGTCAAAGCCCGGGAAACCCAACCACAGCCAGGATCTCCCAGAGACCTTCTAAGACCCAAGGAGAAACCTCCCCTCCGGAGGAAGTGCCCAGGGTGAGCAAAGGCGGGGGTCCAGGTGTGGAAGAGCCTGAGCGCTTGTCCCCAACAGCGGGTGAGTCTGCACTGGTGGCGGGAGCAGGGCTGGGGCCGGGCGCCATGGGCAGCCTGGAATGGGGACGCCTGGAGAAGGCAGGGTGGCCTCGCAGCCGACCTGCCTCGCTGCAGTGGGCGCCAGCTGCCCACGTCTGCTTGGTCTCATGTTTGCTGGAGCTGGGCACAGTCCCTCCAGGGGCTTTCTTTCCTGTTCCAGGCCTTCTTCATTTTGTTAGTATTGCTACTGTCTTATTATCGTCACCACCTTTTTGTGAGGGCGTGGTACTGGCCACATCCCAGCCCTTTTTATTTTTGTTTAGAGACAGGGTCTCGCTAAGTTGCTTAGGTAATCACTGAGTTGCCAAGGCTGGCCTTGAGTTTGGGATTCTCCTGCCTCAGCCTCCCCAGCTGTGGGATCACAGGCACACGACTCCATACCTGGCTGGTCCCATATGTTCTTATAAAATGTGTGCTGGCATATGTCATTGAGGTCCCCCAGGGGAAATCAGCATTCTGTCACCATGCCTGAGTTTTGCCTGTTGTTGAGCTTCAGAGAAAATCTTCCTACTTCTGCTTCCTTGCATTTGCTGTTTCATTAGGGAGTTTCATTCACCTTAATGGGAGTACAATGTTTGGCCGGGAACAGAAGCACATGCCCCAAAATCCCAGCAACGAAGGAGGCTGAGGCAGGAGGATCACAAATTCAAAGCCAGCCTCAGCAACTTAGCGAGGCTGAGCAAGCCAGCAAGACCCCCACCTCAAAAAAACAAAAATGAAAAGGGCTGGGGATGTGGTTTAGGGGTTGAGCACCCCTGGGCTACATCCCTGGTACAAAAAAAAAAAAAAACTTTGTTCTCAGATGGCTGAAGAAAACTGAGTCAAAATTTTGTTTTTGGGGCTGGGGATGTGGCTCAAACGGTAGCGTGCTCGCCTGGCATGCGTGCGGCCTGGGTTCGATCCTCAGCACCACATACAAATAAAGATGTTGTGTCCGCCGAAAACTAAGAAATAAATAATAAAATTCTCTCTAAAAAAAAAAAAAAAAATCTCTCAAAAAAAATGTTTAAAAAAAATTTTTGTTTTTGGTCAGGCACAGTGACTCACACCTATAATCCCTGCAACTCCTGAGCTGAGACAGCAGTATCCTGAGTTCAAAGACAGCCTCAGCAAAAGTGAGGCACTAAGCAACTCAGTGAGACCCTGTCTCTAAATAAAATACAAAATAGGGCTGGGGATGTGGCTCAGTGGTCAGATGCGCCTGAGTTCAATCCCCGGTACAAAAACAACAAAAAAATTGTTTTAGTCTTTACCTATATTTTTAATATATATATTTTTAGTTGTAGGTGGACATAATACCTATACTTTTTATTTTTATGTGTTGCTGAGGATCAAATCCAGGGCTTCACACGGGCTAGGCGAGCGCTCTAGCACCTGAGTCACAACCCCAGCCCTTGTTTTTATTTTGGATACTGTGGACTCAACCCTGGAGCGCTATACCACTGGGCCATGCCCCCAGACCTTTTATATTTTTGAGACAGGGTCTCACCAACTGGCTTAGGCCCTCCCAGGTGGGCCCCTAAATTGCCACACTCCTGCTTCAGCTCTGGAGTCCCAGGGACCACAGGCATGCACCACAGAACCCAGCAGGAGGATCACAAGTTCAAGACCATTCCTGGCAACTTAGGGAGACCCTATTTCAACAACAACTAAAAGTCCTAGGGGTGTAGCCCAGTGGTAGAGCACCCCTGGGTATAATTCCCAGTAACCCGGGGGAAGGTGGGGAACATCTCTTTGGGTTCTCCATTATTCCAATGGTAACCAATTAGTCCATTTATCAAAATTTTTGATTGTCTTAGGCAGACTCAGGCTTTAATTCCCAATGAGAGCAGAAGACTGCTGGCCCAGACTCACTATGCAGCAATGCTTCCCAAGCCTTTTCCTTGCCACTCTATGCCCAGGTCCCGGGGCAGTGTTACCAAGCAGGTGTCTTCAGAAAAGCCAAGTATGCATATGGACATGGTGTGCAGGTGCATACCTTCACGTGTGTGTACATCCAATGTTTTTGATCTGTGCTGCTGAAGACAGAACCCAGGCCCTGGGGCAGTCAGGGCAATTGTCCCAACAGTTGGCCACATCCACAGCCCCTTCAGTTTTGTTTAAAGATTTATTTATTTATTTTTTTAGAGAGAGAGAAGTTTTTTTTTAATATTTACTTTTTAGTTTTCGGTATACACAACATCTTTGTTTGTATGTGGTGCTGAGGATCGAACCCGGGCCGCACGCATGCCAGGCGAGCGCGCTACCGCTTGAGCCACATTCCCAGCCCCTTAGTTTTGTTTTGAGCAAAGAGTCTCCCTAAACTGCTTAGGCTTGCTACAGCCCCAAGGGTGGAGCTAGGCTCACCTGTTCCTTTGTAATATAACCCCTTGCCCTGTTTAGGATAGAATCTTCCATGGAAGTGCCTTGTGTGTGTCCCCTTCTCTTACTGTGCCCTTGGGTGTGGCCTACCCAGGTGTCAGTCAACCTGCTGACAGTGGACATCATGAAGATACTCAGCCCCCTGAAACCTGACCCCTTGCCTCATTTGAATGGCTTCTCCTCAATAAAAGGGGTCAGCGCGTGTGTGTGTGTGTGTGTGTGTGTGTGTGTGTGTGTGTGTGTGTGTGTGTGCGCGCTCTCTCTCTCTCTTCCTGCGGACCCTTAAGGTCAAGGAGCTGTCATAGTGACCCCAAAGAAAGGGTATTTGTGTCTCTTGTGGTCATTTCGTGCAGCCCAGTTAGCCCAGTTTAACTGGAGTGACCCCTGAGCCTTTTAGTCGCGAGAACAGAAACCTAGCAATCCCCCTTATATCAGAGAAGACATTCGGCCTTTGTTTGTTAGA